TTTTTTACTCAATTCTCGTTTCAAATGAGTGCGAAATATATTTATATATAATTTACAAAATTAATAATTAAGTGTCGGTTTAATAATTAAATTAAAATTGTCGCCAAAATAACGAGAGCGGAGGGGATGGGAGGGAAGGGTTTGATTGGCGTGAAAATGGGAGTTAAAAATATAATTGATCGCTAATTATGAGTATTGCGTTGAATGACAAAAACGCAAACAACAAATGAGTGAATGATTTCGACAGACAATTCACACATAGAGTAGTCATCAGCCGCTTAAGTCGTTGTCTTCGTATAGGATTTGATCGTAGAGTTCGGCCTTCACTGTGCGTCCGCCGAAGAACCGGCCGTTTAGGGCATCCCTGCCTTTAATCGCTTCTGCATTCGAGACAAACATACGTTTAATTAATTATTAAACTTTAATACAATTTAGAGAGAGAGAGAGAGAGAGAGAGAGAGAGAGAGAGAGATCATTAACACAACGAGACTGTAAGCCAATCACTGACCGGACTGTTGGCTAAACTCGACGAATATCTTGACAACGATATCGGCGTCGTCCTCCTCGGACTGTCTCTCCTGGTAAATGATGACTCGGTTCACGAAACCAAATTTGCCGCACTCTTCGGTCACCTCCTGTTCCAACTCGTCGTCCAGGTCTTCGATGCCAATCATATTCCTCAACACAATAACCCTCGACTGTCACCGGAAACAAAGCAATCAATTAGTCAACAATTAGTTACCATTTTAATCATTTGATACCAAAACCCTCTGATTATCATTTAAAAGCCACTGCAAACCATATCTATTAATCACAATGACTTAACCACTGTTTAATTTAATTCATTGCACAATTGCACTCTCGTATCACTAGCCATTCAACTCAACCCCCACCCCATAACCGCACGCTCACCTCATTCTTCCTCATGAGCTTATGCATCAGCATCTGCCGCGCATTGGATCCCTTGATGACAATGTTCTCCTGTTGCTGCAGTGTCTGCGACTCATCCACATTACTGTTCGCCTCCGACAGCTTCAGCTCCAACTCTTTGGCCGCCAGAGCAGCCGCCGCCGTTCCCATCGCACCGGTAGCCACAGCACCGACGCTATTAGTATTATTACTATTGTTGGCGACCGTCACGGGCGGCGTCGACAGGAACTTGGAGGGCGCCGCCAACTCGGGGTTGTGGTGCAGACTCAGCGGCAACGTCGTCACCAACTGCGGCGGCGGTATAACCATCGGTTGCGGTACGTTAGGGGTGACCCCCGTGATCACACCGGGCGCCGTGGCCGCCAATACTGGTTGCATGGGATTGGAAGCGATGCTGAGGGCGGCCGCCGAGCCGGTGGTCAGCCCTATGGGCGTGGGAAGCGCTAACACGGGCGGCGGTATCGTCGCGCCGTTGCCGTTCTGGTTGGGCCCGAGACTCGC